ACCTATCTGATGCAGTAGCTGTGGGAACGGATACAAAATGTGACAGTAAATCTCAATGCTGGGAAAAGAGGTGGGAATTGGCATAGAGAAAATGGACGCAAGTGGCTCAGTGAGGTGGGAGTGGTCAGACGAAAAGAGTAGAAAAGGTTGGAGGTGGCAACTTGACTTACACCCATTCTGCCCACTTCTTGACAGTTAGTCATGTGTCCCATTCACATTCCAGGCCATAGGTTCCGCGAGGCCTCGCTACCAATCACCAAATCCGAATTGGCATGGCTTGCGCCACTCTACTCGCCCGATACCACAGTCTAAGATTGGTACTCCTGACACCCTTTTGAACTTGAGCATGACCCAACACGAGGTCCTATCTTGCAGGCACTACCCTTTGTCCTCCCGAATCCGCTGGCCAGCCTGGCATCTCCCTTTACCTCAACCTTCAAGCAGGGGCCAACAGTCCTCATGTGCAACTCGCCCGTTGTTGCCCCAACTCAGTGTCCTAACAACCAGCCAAACTTGAATCTCAGTCCGTCCCAGATGACCCAACTCGAAACTCGGCTGCGATGATGTAACAACTCTGCCGTCACGTTGGCATATCCTTAGGCAAGCACACAAATGCACATGTACACTATTTGCATGCCGTAGCAGAGGCGTCGATGCGACGTTTCGCCGTAGTAACTATGTACAAAAAAATCGGTACCCATAAGGTCTGGCCGAAAGATTTGAACTTGGTGATCGGGCCAACAATCTATATCCGTGTATGAAACTGTTCGCATGTATAGAGATGCGTTTGTGTGTTTGGATTCAAACATATGCATGCATAGCCTTTTGTGTCTATACTTGTGTGCGTATGTAGGTTAGTGCACCGAGGGAGTGTTTGCCCACGATAGCGTCAACCTAAGCACGACTCTAACGGAAATTATGCATTTTAATGCATAAGTTGCCTCTTCAACAATTATATTTAGACTTGTTTTCATAATTTCGTTTCTTATTTTTTATTTTTAAAATATACATATCTGAATGTATGTATACACAAATCCGGATAGAATTAGGTTAATGCTCAATTATTTCTGGATCAATGTATCAGACCTTTTTATAAAATAAGGTGAGTTCAAATGTAGTGCGAGAATGAAGAATAGTGAATAAGATATCTTCGCTTGTTGTCACTTTCGTGCATCAGGTTACAATCATCATCAGAGCTGGGACTTATTCTTGAAAAAGTCTTGAGTTAACATTGAGTCAAGAAAATGATTTTCGGCATATGACGATCGGAAGCTAGGCCCATTTGCACCCGAAACGAAGAATGAGAATAGCTCTTGGACTGTGTCAACCTAAAGGTGGTAGAAAAGCCAAACGGCGTAGGACAGCGGAAAAAGGCCGTGGCCTTCTAATGAGATCGACATACAAAGTTTTTCATCATGCGACTTACTACAAAATGAGAGTCTCCGCAACAATAGTCTTGATTATACAAGTAAACATGCATTATGCGTTATGCGTTAAATATCGAAGACTTTCAAAGGGCCGCAGTGAGTGCTCATTCCTAATTCATCTTTCACACGAAATGAAATACTCTACCACAATCTTCTATCAGGAGATTTAGCAAAACTCACTTTTTTTCGTTAATCAAAGCTAGTATACCTGTACACAGTGTGACTGTAAGGAGAAAGAGCTGAATTCACAGTATTTAATTTAAGTTGAATTTTCCAACAATGATATCAGTGGGCCTCAGGCTTCTACTGAATTTTGCACAGTCCTGTGTAGCAAAGAGTCTCGATACGTTGACTGCTACGCCAAATTGTCCCTAATGTCTCCGGGTCCCAGGGCAGATGTGCATTTCGAGGAAAACCAGGCATTCTCAATATCACATTCTGTGGTGGAATTTTTGATGAAGCAAAGTTGTATTTACCATCACAATCGACTACATAACTTAGCTCCAGTTTATAGATAAGTATCCGAGACAGCCTTAGAAGGCAACTGGAAATTCCATCTAAGGATGGTAATATTTAAATTCATTTGATGTTAGAAAAGGTTTTCTTTATTCATTGGCTTGAATATGGAATCGAAGGGCAACGCCTCGAGGACACTGCCAACAAGAATGTTCCAGTGGAGCCAATCGACAGTTGGACGAGGACAGAAGGAGAGTTATCAAAACATCAGACATTTGGCCAAAAGGTGAAATTATTTGCCTCTGATGAGTTTCAGTTCGGTGTTGAGAATAGAAAGGCTCACTGACAATGTCGGTGAAACGTCTGGCAATGTACCAAGTCCACGGCTCGACGCTGCATATCATCATGGATACTATGGCAGAGGGCTCCAAACAAGATGTGACCAAGTTGCGTAATCTAAATAATTTATTTGACCTCGTGTTGGTGCAAACTTTCGCCCAAATTCTAGGATGATAGGCAGTTACAGAAAGGCTCTTTGAGTTTGTTGATTTCAATGTTAAGGCTTCTTAGAAAGCATATCAAATAAATAGTGCCGGAGAGTTGCCACCCAAGCAAAAAGCATGATTAGTGTCGAGAGAGAAGAGGGATATCATTTGACTCATTCTTGAAATTTAAGAGATTGAAGTATGAAGTTGGGCCAGCTCTGTCTATAGCTAAGTGTTGCTCTTAAGGGTAAATAAGGGATTGCGCCATATGTAAAAAATGTGACTTGCTTCTATCCTGGTCTTGATATTTATAGTTTACCTGCATGCCTAAGGAAATAAACCTAAACATGAAGCTTATTGACCCAGTAAT